AGTTTTCTTCATCAAGGTGGGGGGGGGGGTTTGAATTTGTCTGATCCGTCGCCTAGGACCTGTTTGCCTTGGGAGACCCTTCCAGGGGCGTTAAGCCCCCGACAACATAGCTCCTAGGTTCATTCGGATACTCAAACCCCTCCACCACGTTAAGGTTGCGATTCCAGGAGGGGAGGTTCCACTGTATTGTCTTTATTCATGTTCAAGCGATAAACAAGCCTCCAGTCACTAGATGGCAGCAGCTCATTTTATTAATCTATTTATTAGAGAACTGTGTGCAGCACCTGGTGCCAGCAACTCGTAACTACTAGGATGGGGTCACAAACAGAGGACAATTCCTCTTTTAGATCAAGGTGAACCCATTTGGCAAACGGCCCGCTCTGTTGGCTGGTCTGCATTTTTACCCTGGCAGAAACATCAGATACAGCTGTAAGGGGTCAAGGTGAAAAGTCAAGATGGAATTACAAGGTCTCATGAGAAGGCCATTCACATTCTACTAATTGGATCAGTGATCAGTGCTTATAGTGACAGTGTCCTTCATTATGATTGGGCTGCCCCTACTGATCTTACATACCGAGCGGAGTAAACATCCGCTCCACAAATAACTCTGTGGTCTCATGCACTGTAATACCACCTGTCTGCCACTGAGTGGCAACAAATGAAATGTTAACTTGTCACATAAAATGCATTGATTTTCCTCCGGTGCTCTTGCTCCTATTATCATATGACTGTGTCTTAAAATCCGACTTATTATCATTATTATTGTTATTATTAATATTATTGTTGTTGTACGAGTATAAGTATAGCCTATATTCTCTATTATGAGAAAAACATGTAGAATGAAATAGCCACATAAAAAAAAAAATGTCACTTAAGGTCCTCTATTATGAGAAAAACATGTAGAATGTGAATGTAGAAGAAAAGAGTCATACCGGTACGACTTTTCGTACCGGTACGAAAATAATGAGAAATGAAATTTGGGCCTTGGAGGATACGAAGGAAAAAATACACAGTGTAAGAATAAGGAACGTGGAGAATCTAGTCTAAGGAGATTCTTCATCTTCTGGATCAGCCTCACATCATAATAAAAATCGTAGTAAGTGAAAAGATTGTCTTTACCGAAAAACATAAAGGAAGTTCCGTCGTTAAGTTAAAAATAAAAATATATAAAAACATATCTTGAGAATGTGATTGAGCGGTTTCCTGGAGTTTTGTACCGTATATTTTCTAGTAGGCTATATCACAAAACGTTATAAATATTAAAAGTATATTATAGAGTTAGGATAGAGATGTGATTTATGCATTTTATGAACATGTATCAACTATTGAGCAGCTTTTATGCAGTACCTATATGTAGGAAACATTTTAATATATTTTTAATATATTTTTTATATATTTTTATATTTTTTGTGTGAACGTGTGCTTTTTCATTCATTTTGCTTAACCACAATAGCTGCAATGTTACGCTTTGTCCACGCAGGGGCAGTGTACACTCATTTTGAAAAAGTAATTTTAGTTTAGCGACCGACCAATTATATTTCACCATCAACAAAAACACATGCAAATATACATTATGTAAACTGTGGTTTTTATGTAACCCTGATAAAATAAAAAATATAAATAATTGATGAACACATTTATGGAACATTGAATTTGTGTTCTTAAAAGACAGATAAACCATTTTGAAAACTCACGTAACCAAAACAAATGTGTCTGTCATTAGAATTGTTATTATTAAAATTCTTCTCAACAACCCTCTTTTTTTATAAAACACCGAACAAACAACATGGTGTGGTTTATGACTTCAAATTTAAATTTGTTTCCGTTCCAGGCTGCTGTCCAGCTTCTGCAATAAGTAAAAGACATAGTGAATGAAAGCCCACAATAAACATTACGAGCATGAGTGTTAAAATTTCAATCTTATGAATGTTTTTCAAGGATATAATTTATCCTGGAAGAATGCTGAATCACAGAATTGACTTACTAATGTATATTATCTGTGTTGTTACAATGCGAAAAATGTATTTTATAGAAGCGAAATTGTTTATCGTATTCCTCACTATATCAATGGAGAATATAGTATATTTTATATTTCATAATAAAGATAAAATACGACAATTCCACAAAGCACATTTACTACCAATCTGAACTATTTCCTCTCATTTCTCGGGAACGTTGTATAAGTTCTTATAAAGAACATAAAGGTCTGATCTCAAAACAGATTAGAGTTCGTTCAAGGCTGACGCTCCCTGGAGACAACTCGCATATATTTGACGCGTGGAGTCGTTGAAAGACAAAGCATAGACTGCAAATCTCTGTGTGTGGGCTAAACAGGATGTGCTAACGATCCACGCTGCTAAAGGTTTGATCGACAGGACTGTGGACGTTTCTTTGGTCCAGCTTCACATATAGAACGCTCACCGACTGCATTAGTTGTATTTCTGAGCTCAATGCGTCTTGCAGGATCTCTAAATCTCCATTTTTATACACCTCCAGCTCACTCCTCAATCTGGAAAAAAAAATGTCGGTATTATGCATAGCATAATGTTGTGTAGAAAAATTCAGCAGTATACAACAGTCCTGGTATGTTTTTGTTATTCTAAATATATGTATATATATATATATATATATTTTTTAGCGGTATTTCTTGCGCCGTGCTGTTTCTTCTACTTATTTTAATTCCAAAAATCCTCCACCCTGGGACCTAAAAAAGCTAGTGAAAGTGGAAAGGCGGAAAGAAACAAAGTGAAGGGAGAGATTATACGAAAGCATGAGAATGGCGCTGTTGTTTCAGATCCATTATTCCGAAAGATTTTTAAAAAAATTAACACAGGCCTGGGTTTATTTTGGACGTTGAATGATGATGGTCAGTGACAACCATGGTAAAAACCATCAAAGTTTTTTTTTTTCATTGACTTCTTTGATCTACTTTCTTTTATCGTCTCCAAAATAATCACCATTCTGGTTTCAATAGATGAGGGATAATAGGCTTGGAAACATCCCAAAACATTATAATACAGAAACTATATTTTATATACAGTAAGTGCACCAAAAGTTATCAGTTAGGAAAAAAAAAATCAACAAAATGTATTGTAACGGGAAGGTCATAAATAATGAAATACAACTTGATAATCAAACAGTGTTCTACAACATGAAACTTTCCAAACAGGTCAACCAACACAAATGCTCAGGAAATGTAGTCCCTTTTTTATACATTTGATATCTCCTACAATCGTGTCGGGACATCTCAATAGAACCCATTTCGCTATAAACAGAGCAAAAAAAAAAAAAAAATTACTCAATACTCCATACCCAGGAACGGCAACAATCCGGTATCTGACAAAATTCAACAACGGAAAAAAGCAACAGCTGTTTTTTTTTTTTTTTGACACGTTTGAGCAACATGTTGTAAATCTGACACAGATTGATATTGGTATCCAAGTTGCAGTATTAGTATCAGACGGCTAGTCATTAGTATTTTTAACATTTTTAAATGCTCAAAATGTGTTCGCCAACTCCCTGTGAAAAAGGTTCCCAGAGATTCCATCTTGATCTATAATTAGTTTTATCAGTGAACTTGTTATTCTCACTATTTGTAAAGTTTCCTCATCGGGGCAGGATTTGTGAGGAAGGACCGCAGGCCTTTCAAGGACAGCCTGTGCCCTCGAGCAAATGTTAATAAAAACCTGCGAACAACTCATGAGTTCAGAAAAGACAGGATGAGGCAAGTGTGCTACGGTAGGTAATACACACAACATCAGCTGCTTCGAGCTGTAAAAACTGTCTGCTCTTATGGCAGGAGAGCAAATATTTTACACCATAATTTCATAAACATACATGAAATTTTATTACGGGACCCAGCCCTACTGTGGAAAATCCATCAGTCTCAAGTCCATGTTACTTGATTCCTTTTGCTGCAGTTCAACTGTTATGACAGATGTGAGAGAAGCGCACGGATACACACACACACCAGTCTAAGACCAGCTACCATTTTCTAACTTTTATTGGAATTTAATGAAACTCTAAAGCGCTCAAACTAAAATTGCATTTTCCGAATGTGAGCATCAGCAGCACCGCTTTCAAACTTTACACCTCTCCCTGGAAACCCTTAAATTACATTTTAAAACAAATTCATTTCAAGAAGTTACAACAATGTCGTCGTAGCACGCGGAAGATTATTGTGCGTCCGTCTTCATTATAGTCAGTAATGCATTCACACATGTATTCATTACATCTGTCGATTGAAAAAAAAGAAACCACTTTATGTTTGCTTAGCTGCTTAGCCCGTTGACTTAATATCTAAGGCACCACCTTCTATCCTATGGCCGCCCCTCCTACCTTGTACACTGAATGCTATTTAAAAGACAGTAGCACTCATTCAAATTGACACGCATTCAATTTTCAACAATCAATAAGCCAAGAGGTAAAATATGTGTTTCAAAGAGATGCTGGCGCTGCTGTAGAGGCTAGAGACAGGATTGATGGTTTTACTTCAGAATCATAAGGTGGGGGGTGGGGGAGTTAGTGCTTTCTACTTCAAAGACACATCCACAGCACTTTCTGAAGCTAATAAGATCTAGGTAATGGAGGCTATGTTTAATGAGGCTGATGGATGGACATCACATGCTAACCATGTGCTTGATTTAAAGTAGGATCTGAAGACACAGGAAGAAGACAGTCAGGAAATCAAGAATGGGAGGAAAAAGACCAATCAGTGTGAAGAGAAATAATTCACAAATTCCTATTAATACTGATGGATCAAAACTACTATATTGATGTTGCAGTGTCTTACATGCCCATTAGAATTTGAGCAAAACCAAATTGGGGTGCTCTCCATAAAGTAGGTCAATGTTTTTCAACCCGATCTGCCCCCACATATGTCGGGGAAGTCTGCAATTCAAATAGTGTTGCCTTAAATGTATAGCAATTAATAAAAAAATAATTATTTCAATTAATATTATTTTTTAAACTAATTAAACCACAACACCCAATTTTAAACAACCGTAATCTTGCACTCTCATTCATATAAATCACGTTTAAATAAATTGCAGAATATAAACATATCTGAGCTGGTGAATCATGAGAGCAACTAAAAATGTCTCTGGGGTCACCAGAAATTTGTGACGTCAAAATGGCGTCACATGCCAAAAAGGTTGGGAAAAAGTGCCATAAGTCAACCTCTGTTATCAGAGTTTTTTTGTTTTTTTTTCAAACCACTGGCATACTGTACTGTACAGATCGTTGTCACGTAGCATGGTTTAGAGATTGGTATGTTTAACTGTGGAGTTAGTTAGGTGTAAGAAGAAATAATTATGCTATCATCAGCCAATAATATCACTTGACCAATATAATCAGACATCCCAGAAAGAAAAAAAAGAGAAAGTGATCATTTGGGTATTATATTTTAAGTTATAAGTTTAAGTATATTTCAAGATAGACAATTATAAGACCATTAATGCCAACACAGTGACATCAGCGACAGGAATAAACTGATTTGAAGTCACCCAGTGCAGTTAGTATCCGTCCACTAATAATTAGAGATTTAAAATAAAACACACATTTCTGGTATATACAGAGATTCTCAAAAACATTAAATTTCAATTATTTATCCATTTCCTGTAAATGTTGTGCCAAGCAGAAAACCCTATGTGGAAAGAATCTTGAGTTGTGGTTGTAAAATGATCAGCAGCCAGAACTGAAGTCTGGAAAGAAGCTCGGGTTTTAAACCAGAGACCACAGAAATAGTTCACATCCAGCCTGCAACTAGATGACAAAAACGTATTTATTTTTTTTTTTTTCCGATAATGATTTTTATTCATTTATTTATTTTTACTTTTCTATTTGTTACTTCATGAAAATGCGTTAGTTGCTCATTTGAAAATAAAAATGTGTTTATTCTCCGTTAGCACTGCAGTTTCAAACAGTAAACAGTATTTATATTAAGCCCCTGCTTTAGACGTACAGACATTGAATACGTTAAGTGACATCAAACAATCATAATTTTTTTCTGTGTGGTAGTAGTGAGCCCACAGCCACATATGTTGGCCTGCTTTTTGTATGTACATTAAAGGCTTACCTACATGACACTACCATTGAAGGGAGCAAAGAAGTACAACAGTGTACCATACCAGAACTAAGGCATTATGCTGAACATCTTAACTACAGGGGAGCAGCAAACTACCTAACTTCTTTAATACACTTTGGGGGGAAAAAAAAACAGATTTTTTTTTTGTTGCCCTTTAAGCATCAAGCTTGAAAATGTTCCTGCGATTGTCTTTCTTGAACGCCCACCAAAACACTGCAGCGGGTTTGCCATTCAGCAACGCACTTAATGCAAATGAAACCACATTCCTCTCAGCTGCACACCATTCAAACACAGCAGCACGGCTGTCAAGAGCAATTCAGCGTTCACCATTTTATAGACTAGAGAAATCAGTGATTGAGCGGCCAATTTTGTGCAGGACGACGACCGCATGTAACTTTGGCTCCACGGCCTTACAATGACTGACAAGATGCACTCAAGATGAGCTGACAAGTATTACGCGTGCAGCGCATTATACCTGAAATTCAGCCCAGGGGTTTTTACTAAACTAAGTTAGATCACACATTAAATGATTGTATGGTGAAAGTTTCTTTGCCTTATTTTGTAAATGGTAACATTTCAATGCATTTAATAAATAAGCATTTGTGGAAACACTAGACCAGGGGTTCCCAAACCTTTCCGTCCTAAGGACCCCCAAACAGCTTTGGCTTCTGGCCGAGAACACCCTTTGCAAAACCAGAACAGACCCTGCTACCAAATATATAGTGAAATGTATTTTCTTAATTTTATTGACTATTCAATGTTTGTTATATTTATTTAGCATAAGGAAATTGTTAACAAACATGTTTTCAGCACTGTATATTTCTATTAATATACTTAATAACAAACTGTTGCTCTGCTCCTTTGATTTTTTTTGTTGTTGTAAAACAAACCTGTCCATTTTGTGCTCGCTGGCTACCTGCTTGATTAAGGTGCACAGGAGCTTAAAGAACAAACTGCCAGGTTTACACAGATTATGATGATGTCATGCCCAAGTTGCAGCTATCACACGCGGTATGTTCAGGTACCACTGGTAACTTGTAAATTCAACAATTATGTCAGATATGTGTTGTACAGTTCTAAAGGTTATAGAAAAAAATACATTTTCTCAGCCCCCACTTTGATGACCGCTGCACTAGAATAGAACGCGGAATTGTCACCACACCATTCATGCAATCTTCACAATACATAGGACCTGATGTGGCCATAAATTTAAATGCAAAAAAAGGAGATTTTGTTTGAAAAATGTCAAAAGAAAATGTTGAAAACTGTCATTTTTCCAAGTAAAATGAGTCATCATTAACCTTACATGTTTAGCTCACTAACTCATGAATAGTCTGATCCACTAATGTCTTCAAACAATTATTTTTTTTTTGCTAACAGTTAACACGAAGTATTGATTCGATTTGATTATTTTCTTTTCCCTGTAAGTCGCTGGATAAGCAGTTCTTCGTCTCTAATTCTTTACCCTGTATTCATCACATTAGCCTATTTTTTACTTGTTGACTGAGTGAAATACACTGCAAATCAAAGACTTAATTAAGCCAAATGGTCTTAATGGTCTGTTATTTACACTCCAAGACTTGGACTTGAGACATGAGAATGTATAGAGAGAGAGAGAGGTAGAGGGAGATAGAGAGAGAAATAAAGGGGGGGGGTGGAGTGAAGGCTTTAGAACTCACTTGTTTGTTCAGCACTTATCATTCACATCCATTTAACACTTTTTAGCCCCGGGCATCTGGAATAACACAATGTACCGCATTGTCCGCACTTTAAGGATTGAGTACGCTGACTTTTTTTTTTTTAAATACATCAAACCATCTCAATATCACAGCTGCATTTAAAGGACTTTGAATGTCAAGAAACATCTGCTGGATAATGTTTTTTTATATGCAGCTGAGCCTCGTGCTAGATTTTTCTGGTTTTGAAATCGTACACTAACTCGGCCGTTGATACTCACCTGAGGCAGGTGGTGTCAGTCAGAGGTTTCTGACTCACAAACAGATTCTCCGCTGTTAGAGATTGTGTCATTGACTCAGACATACTCAGCTGCCGATCCAGATCTGTAGGTGAGGGCAATAAATCACACGATGACTAAAACGGCAGACACACTCTCTAATTAACAACACAGATATTTGGTTACATGTGGAGACAAAAAAGTACTTTTTAACTCTTTCAAACCAAGGTCTTCATGCATCCCTGAACTCTTACTGGGGTAATTTGGATCCTTAAATTTTGTTTTAACTCAACTGGAATTGTTATGGAGATGACCATAGTTAACCTCTTGTAACATTTTGCCAATTTATCTATGCCTTAATAACCACATTTAATAGGTTGGGGTTTTTTGTGCTTTTTTTCCCTGAATATTATTTTTTAACAATTTGTGACAAAGAACTTCTTTTGCTGTGTGATATTGATCACTACATATGAGGGTCTGGCATTTATAAAAAAAAAAAATCTAAGAAAGGCCAAGTAACTAAATACTTGGTAGTTGTGCAGCTGTAAAAAATGAATGAACAATTTATTTTCAACAAAAGTTCACTTTAAATTGTCCAGAATTGATGTTCTCATCATTTTATTCCCGGTTAAGGTTCCTTCTTATTTTTACACTTTTATTGTGGTAAGAAGCTGGGGGAGTCAGTAGACACTGTAAGTAATGGGAAAAATCTGTTAAAAAAATCTATAGCAGAAAAGGAGAATTTAGATTTGAATATATGGGCTCAAAATAAGCTTTCCATGTTTTACAGACCAGCAAGTGCCAGTGACCGTAACAGACCCTAAAAAGTTAGTTACAGTGTCCTAAACTTGTCAGATAGTCATCCGATGTTTTACGTCTGAATTCCAGGAAGCTTGGACCTTTTATTTACTGCTCTATTTCCTCCACAGAGAGAACAATGTAATACTATTGATCACCTTTTGAATGTTATTTATTTGGACACGGTACGAACTTGCCGCGCTTTTATTTCCTGTGAGGAAGCAGCGAAATATGTTGCGTTCCTTTACGTTGTTTTCCTAATATTATCTGTTGATTTTATTAGTTTGAAAGGTGCTCTCAAATAAAGTTTATAATTCTATTATGCTTCCCTTCTCCCCTTCTTTATAGCAATCTTTTTTCACAGCCTATGGTTTAATGAAACACAATAAAATATTTGGGGTTTGTTTCTCCTACACTATAGCATATAATGCGCATATGCTGGTTTAGCGGTAAAAAAAACAAAACAACAAACAGATGTTATGTCATGGATTATTTCTCACGTTTACCTAGTAAGTGTGTGTGTGTTTGCACTATGTACCTTACAACCAATATCTGGAATCTAGAAATCAATTTATGACACTTTATGAAGGTCATAGTGCAGAACACACAACATCGAGGACAAGAGGCATATGTGCTGCTTTTAGCAAGACAACTGTTTGTCATAATACCATGCCATATACTGCATATACTTCTTAATCTGATACACAGTTAACCTTTGGTACTCACCCTTCTGTCTGTTCTCCAGGGCCTGCAGTTCAAGCTGAAGTACTCTCTTCTCTTCTAGCAACAGACTCATGCGGCTGCTGCCGCATCTCATTAGCTCCATTTCTAGAAGGGAAAAAAAAACATATTTGAAGCTAGTGTGCCACATGTTTTTTAAAAATGTGTTTACGCTGGCCTCAAAACAATTAAAAAAAAAAAAAGACTTGGAACCATATCAAAGCATACTTCATCATTAAACGTGAATTGCACTACCAACACAAGTATATAAAACTGTTCTTTATATAAACTGTTACCAGTGGAATTTGTCCATATGTAAAAAAAAAAAAAAACAAAGTTAATTTCGGGTCTGTCTCTGTCTCTCTCTCTATAAGAGTACTTCTCAAATAGTAAGGGTAGGCTACCCTAGGGTAGTGCAGTGGGATGCCAGAGGGGGTATCAGGGGCTTACCATGGAATATGGCAATATACACTGAACATAAGTGTACCACTGCTGTAATGCTTGAATGATAACAAGCCTCCAGCAGTGATGTGCAGTGAGGCTCATGGCTGGGGAAGCACTGACTTCTCTGGAGTCAGATTTACAATTGTAAGAACTGGAAAGAGCATCTTATTTCACTATTCATCCAACAGCATGCACCTGGTAAAGCTTCATATCCCATCAGTATTCCTCTTTTACATCCAATTACACTTACACCAACACAAAAACATACACAGAACCATATTTGTCCAATGGAGAATATTTATCTTATAGAAATTGATAGAGCACTTTCATTGTGTCTAAGCAATTCATGTTTACTGTATACAAATTAAAGTATAGAGATGAGTGTAGCACAAATTTAATTTTGATCTTCAGACGCCCCCCTAGAGGTGAGGCAGAGTACTGCATGCCTCCCCTGCTGACTTTTCTCTGCACTTTTTTGCAGGATCATCAGGAAGAATTCTCTCGCACATACATCAAAGTATGTACGATGCGTAGAACAAATATTTCTGTAAAGTTTATATTGGTGACATGCTGAGGAACAAAAACGGACACGCGTCATGCGACCCAGTTTGTATTGGATCGCGCAGTCAGATATGAGGCACAGCTCTCCACTGCCTCACCCGGGATTTCTGCCCTGTATTTGATCACGAAATACTCAAATTTGGCAATATTTACTTAATAAAATGTCAAAAATGTGTAGTCATACTGAAAATGCAACTTTAACACAGATCAGTGGAAAATATTAATATTTATTTTATGTTTTTTTTTTTTTTTTTTCTTGATGGCAGATAACCTCCTGTGCCATCAAGAGGCAGGGGGCGGGGTGTTAAAAACCTTTCTATCATCGAGGGGGGAATGACAGAAAATAATTGAGAACTACTGCTCTACTGTATATGTATATATAAATATATACACAAAGTATATGTTCATACATATATAAACTGTTTAAATATATGTATCTACATGTATGTCTACACACATATATAGCATAATATAAAAATATATATATCTGTACCTATAACCTTGTGAATGCTATTGTCGTGTCGAGTTTTCTGAGACATTTTCAAATATTGCTTAATATTTCGAGCTCTGTGAAACTGACATGACAATGCAATTTACCATAGACCTTAGAGCACAGTAAATGCCATCTCAGTTTGACTGTAGATGGAAAAGGGTCAGTGTGCCTGTTAAATCTTTGCTTTTTCATTAAAAAAAAAAAGACCAATAGTGAAACTAAGACTGAAGAATTTTGAAAACTAAAACACTCAAATTAATAACATTAAAACATTTTTGTAAGAGAAGAAATGGAAAGTTGGCTTTCAAAGCTGGTGTCAAACATTTTTATGTGAGAAAATCAATTTGACTAATTAGACAAAATGGAATTTTTTTGGCAAGTCACATAAAAACAAAAAAAATTTTAATGCCCAAAGATCAGCTTCAGTAAAAGGTCCTGGATCAGACAACTCTTTGGCTTAGCTTCTGAGAATGACGAGGCTTTAGAGTTGTTCTGAGAGGATGAGACAGCTTTCTGAAAGTATTGCCATACAAATCACCACACTGTGATTATTTGAAAAGAATATTGGTAAGATACTACATTCAACACCACTGTATGTCTAGACAAAAGGCCAATCAATGAAAGAAAGCAACTATGTGAATAAACCAATACAGCCATAACTCTAAGAAAACCTACTGTTGCAGCGATCCATATACTGTCCAAAACAAGGGAAGAAATCCGCAATCAACTAGTCACGATGCGACAGTGCTACAAAGCTAACTGTTTCAGCTTCTGTATGCGCTTGCCCAAGTGACACACAGTGAAAAACTAGCTTTATGAGAAGCACAGAGGCAAAGCCCATTGCACACACTATTGTATAAGGCTCTACTTGACTCTGAACCATACAAATGTTCTCTAATAATCAGCTATTTATTTCATTATTTAACAGTGGTTAAAAAACTTCCTTCCTTTTCTTTTGTCTATTAATACTTAATGCTTCAAAGGTTTTCATTTCAATGACTGCGACTCTTCCAAAGCTCATATTGTCCTTGAACAAATGAAAATAAAGTCACAAATCAGAGACCTTTAAAACACAATCAAACCTCTGTATCTCTTAGAAACAGTTACTACGTCAGTGATCACAATTATTTATTTACACAGTAGGCCCACATTATACTCTTCAATCGTCTGGAGACAAGAGAACAATAAACAGTGTTTTACAACCTTTGTTTAATGATTCTTCCTCTTGCTCTAGCTCCAGCATCTCTGAGCGTGTTTGTCTTTCGATGTCCGTTTCTCTGTTTTGCTGTAGGCTGAAGTCACTGTTAAACCTTGAAATCTCTTGAAAGAAACTTTTCTCTTCTTCTTTTGACTCTGTTTTTATCTTGACCTGTTGGCACAACAGCACATACACGACTGTTTTCATCTACTGTACCTTAAAGCTGATATCTTTTGTCCAAATATTGACATTATGGGGTGAGACAGTATACAGACCAAATACCAACTCGCAGCCTATTTAAAAGACAGCTGCGCCAGTAATGGGAAGAAACATGTATAACGTGGTTGTGTATCTCATTTTGTTTTCTTTTGTGTTATCTAGCCTTCCATCATCTTAACCCAGGGGTGTCAAACATACGGTTCGCGGAACAGAAAACGGTCTGCATGGGGTTTCAATCCGGCCCACTTGATGAAGTATGAAAATAAGGTAGATTTGATGTTCACGACATGTTTTGCAAAATTATAATTAATAAAACTAATTATAATCACATGTAATTTATTATGTGATTAGAATTATAACTTTTAGATGCATCTAATTTCTTCTTCTTTGCTTGAAAACAAAGGAGAAAAACAAAAAAAAGGGGACTTATTTTTATTCATAGGTAATTATGTTATGATTGTACTGGTCAGTCCCACTTGACATCTAATTAGGTTGTATGCAGCCCCTGAACCATAATGAGTTTGACAACCCTATCTTAACCCCTTGCGATTACTATCCTTTCTGCTAAAAGCTCTGATCATAACTGTCATAAGAGAACAGAGGATGACCTAAAACATAGACCATGGTGACGTTATTGACTGTGAAGGATTTTCCATTGAGGGTAGTTTATCAGAAGGGAAGTATGCCTATTATACACCCATCATTGGAACTTCAAGCCATCCATCCATCTTCAACCGCTTATCCGGGGCCGGGTCGCAGGGGCAACAGTCTGAGCAGGGACACCCAGACTTCCCTCTCCCTCGACACTTCCTCCAGCTCTTCTGGGGGGACCCCAAGGCGTTCCCAG